GTGACAGTTCTCCAGTAACATTTTGTTATTGACTTTGGAGAGTGAGAAATCAGTAACAGTTTCTGTTCATTGTGCAAAAGAAACACCTAACAGAAAACTTAAACCATAAGGGACAAAGCAAAACTTAGTACTAATAAAAAGAGCTATCAAGCAAGTAAAACACGACAAAAGGAGGGATACAGTATTTACTTCCAATAAAATAAGAAGTTTCAGGTATTATTTGTGACTGTTGATTACAAAAAGTTCAATCAGAAGCAAAATTTTTAAATGGGAAAAAACTTTGTTGGAAAGACTCTTCACTGTGTCTTAGCTAGCCCTCCTCAAAACTTCTCATATAATGGTTCCATTCTTAGAATAAGACATTATCATAGACGATTTTCTCTATCAAATATCAAGCAATAAGGCAAATTAAAACCGAGGGACACAACACAGCTATGAATTTGCTGCAAGTGATTGCTGTTTTCTTCCTGCATCTTGTAAATGTAATTTTCAAAAATGTTTCTGTATACCAGTGGTCATATCTATCTTCACTGGTCGAAAAAGCCATGTTCAAAGACCAAATGGCTGGCTTCAGTACCTTATCTCTGTTTAAAAAAAAAAAAAAACAAACCAAAAAACAAAAACAGACAAACAAAAAAACCCCAACAACAAACCCAACCAAAACCCAACACCAACCCCCCCTGCCAACACGAACACCCTTGATGAAACGAGGACAAGTCATTTATCTTGTTAATCTAGGTCAACTTCAGATAACACATGGAGGGATGGGAAACAAAGAGATTCAGGGACAATACTGTTTGGGATTCACTAAGAAACTAAAACAACTATTGCCCACTATTTCCACTAAGATTTGAACACAAGTATACCTTGTTATTTAAAGACATATTACAGTAGAGAAAAAAAAAAACAAAACAAAACAAAAAACAAACCCATAACCTAAGTCCTCAGTAAAACTTCCAGCTTCACTAACATCATGGAAGTTCAAGAGTACAGAATTCAAGACTGTACTGGTTTTCAACAATGCCTTCCTTACTTTCTAGAAAATGTCACAAATCTGATGGTAACACAGCTTTGTATTGGTGTACATGCAAATTGACTGTAAAAATCTCTTACTGAAAAATAGTAATAGTGTTCTAGGAAACGAATACTTTCCTGGAACACTGCAAGTTGTCTCGACTAAACTCATAAAAGGTGTCAAACACCAGCTAAAATGAACTTTTTAAAAAAAGGAATCATAGGAAACTAAGATAATATTTCAAACCCAGTAACTATTCACTACTGTAAGTGCTTATATTTTATGCAATAAGAGCAAATATTAAAAAAAAAAAAAGAAACAAAACCAAGTGATTCAGCTAACAGTGACAGACTGGCCATATGTCTTTGCAGATTCTTTACTGAGGAGGGGAGTTTCCAGAATGTCACTCAAAAGTTGATAAGAAATAAGTCAGGGGCAACAGGACAGAGAACGTGAGATGTCTTTCATAAAATAAAAAGGACAAAAGAATGGAGACAATGAACAGAGAGTACATTCCAGCTATGCGGAACTACCAAGAAAGCAGCACAGAGGTAACAGAAAGGTAAGTCGGAAAGCACAACTGAGCAGAGCAGCAAAGAAGCAGGACTGTATCTGGTTCTCAGACAGGGATCTCCATTCAGTGCTAGAAACAAGCAGCAGATACAGAATGTGCAAGCATATATAGAGGAACCTATTACGTAAACTGCTGTAGTTTGCTGATCTCAGCAGCAAACACCTTAATATTAGCAGCAGACAAATAAGAAATCTTCCAGTCCTAGCACAAGAAAGTAGTCTGCACAACATCCAAGAACAATGCCATCAGTACCTCAACATTATTTGCTTCTATCTCTTTCCATCATACACTGGAAGGCAAGAAATCTGTTACCTACCATCTAGCCAATTTTATGATTTATACAAAAGTTGATCGACATCTACTTTAGGTGAGACATTGTTGACAACTGGATGCTAATTGCAGGGAAACGGAAGGAAAGCTACTGTGCATGGAGAAAAAGTCAAGTCAAGCAATCTCTTAATTAAGACAGGTAGGCATCTTTAAGGTGTTCACAGAAAATTAACGATGATGAGCATAAGTAACTGGTGTTTTCAAATTCCCTGGATGTATCAATAGCTCTTTTTTATACACAGTAAATATGGAAGTTATAATTTTTGCTTCAAATACTTTTAACTTGGACATTTTTAGAATTATAATAAAATAGATCCTCATTCATACAAGAAGAGTGTTTTACAGTACTTGCTGCAAAAGATGAAGCTGAGCAATTGTTTAATCTTTCCAGGAGGTATTTAAGTGCTAAGGCCTCCATACATAACACTCTGAGGGTTAGTGTCGCTACAGGATACTACAGTATCATGGCAGAGAGATAAAAACTGGCAAGGACACAATGTTCGCCCAGTACCAAAAAAACCTGACCAAAGATATCAATACAACCATGGCACTGTATCCAGGTTATGTGGACAAAAATGTCAAGAAGGAAGAGGAGGTTGGGCTGGATGCGGGATGTTGGATTAGATAACCTCCACCAGTCCCTTCCAACCTATTTGATTCTGTGATTAAGAAAAGCTCAGAAAGCCAGTTAAAAGCAAAGGAACATTTCTCAGTTTTTTCAATCAATATAAAAGAGATACTTCATTAGAAGCAAGCTTCAAGAATGCTGGTGTAACATAATTTCTTTACAAAAGGAAGACCTTGACAATCCCTCTCTAAAACAGACTTAGTCTTCCCAGAATTAAGAGCACTGAACATTCGAAGATTTTATTTTTAGTATTTCTTAAAAGAACACCTAAAATTTAGCAAGAGAAGCTATTATTCTTCCCCCAAGCACAGCTTTATCATCACGAAAGCAGGTAATTCCTCTAAACTTCATTAATTTTATTCACAAAGGAAAGAAAGGATCTGTCAAAAAGAAAAAGTTGATGGAAGAAATGTTTGTTCTTCCTACAGATTTTTCACAGATTCCCTAGGTTGACTATGACGTGATAGGATGTACAGATTGGGACTTCAATAGCAGCATCACTGGAGAAGACAGACACGATTTGCCTCTATAGTACAAGGCCTCAAGAAGCATTTCGAGAACAATTTCCAGAAGCAGTTCTCTAAGCACCTTCTTCCACATGTGGCTGCTTGCTACATTTTTGAAGTGACACATGAAAACACAGAAAATACATTTAGATGATACAACATGAATAATCTAGTATTATAGAACTTAAGTTGTCATGATTGCCTACTTTTCTATCCACCAGATCACTCAAACACAGCTTGACTCATTAGCAAGTGCAGACTAATAAAACTGATCCCAGGCAGGTGAGTATACAAGTGAGTCCGGTATGAAGACAGTTAAAGCGTAACTGGAATCCTGATTTTTGCATAAATCCTTTTATCAGTTCCCATCCCAAACAAAGCAGAGTGACCACAACATATACATTTAATGAATTATCAATAAGGTCCGTTGGAGCTTTTGCAGCTTTTTAGTGTTTTAAGCCAGAATTTCAAGAAGTTCCAAAAATCTGATCTTACTGAGTTAAGTATGAAACTGATCCCAAAGTTCTCCATTTGCTGCATATTTCTGAGTTGGCAACAGGAAGAAGTTACTGTGGAAGAGCGAACAATTGTATGACAGGGCTTCAGGCATACAAGAAAACATAAAATACACTTTTGGCATTCAGTAAGAAAAACATCCCTTCTGAATGACCTAATTGTGGCAGAAGATAAGCTGTTTCCAACTGGTGTGGAGGAGTGTGTTTATTCCCTTGTATACAGCAATTCCTAAGGAATTTTTTTCTCCTCCTTCATAATAGGATCTTATATTGATCGACAAGATCATTATGTGGTTAACGCTCTGTAAATGAATCAAATTATTACATCTCAATTAAAATCCTTCAGTTTTAGAGCTGCACTAATATTGCCAAAGAAGAAAGTATTTTTTCCAGGGTGTCAGTACTGTTTCTAAGGTCTGAGGTTTTGAAGATCATCTTCTCAGGAGAACTAGTAATGCACAAATTTTGTGGTACTCTTCAGAATGCAATAGTACACCAGTACCCATGGCTTCCAAACACAGAATAGTTTCTTTCATTCTGTTTTTCGTGCCTAGTGTGTATAGTGTTTTTCTTAGAAAAACAAAGTACAATACAAGCCAATAAAAATACTGTCCTAAGAACCGTAGATTAAAAATACTGTTAGCAATAGCAAGCAAGAAGCTCTCTGAATATATCTGTAAATCCACCCTTTCAGAGATTCATTCCATATTCAACTTCTTAAGAGCCTAAAAGAAGTCCGCATTAAACTGTTTATTATGCTTCACATTTTGACCAATTTTTTTTTGGTATGAGTTTGGGAGGCTTTTCAGAATTGTTGTTTCCTATACAGAAAATGTATCTGTGCAGGAGCCTGTTAAATGTCAAAATGGAATAATTACATATTATACCCCCATAGCAATTATTTCATTAGTCTAATCTATTAAATAATTCTGTTACACTGTACATGCTTAAAAATCATAAATATTTCAAGTGACTTTTTATTTAACTGATTACACACATCCTTCTTTGAGATCATACCTGTTTAAACAAACTGGTAAGAACATTCATATGAACAGTACTTAAAAGTCACAAACTACTACCTTAGATATAATGGGAGCTTTGCTTTAAATACACATCTTGATGACATCAGGACTGGAACAGCAGTATCCTCAAGAATGCTAAACAAGAAGGTTGTTTTCAATGCAGAAAAACGTGTAATGAATTCCTCAATTGCTTTTAAATATTGATATTAAGTTGTGGTAATGCAGCACTCTTAAAAACAATGTTAGGATCGTGACCAGAGAAATGGTTCAAAAATGTGTATGGGCTTGGGGTTTTTTTTTTGTTTGTTTTTCTTTTTTAGAATGCCTTTATGTAGCAAAAAGTTCCTCTGCTAGCCTAATTTAATGCTTTAATTTTTCTAATTATGCTGAAACATCAGTTAAGAGCCTACCTGATGTTTTGGAGAATTTGCTGTGCTGGGATTGATATTCCGCAATGCCTAAGAGTAAAAATAAGATGGATAAAAATTACTTTAGCTGCATGGTTTGCCTATGCAGGCTGTCTTATAAACACCATCTTGTAGTATCAAGCCCCCAAGACAGGCCAGATGAGACAGGATAAGGGAGTTAAGAAACTATGAAAATCACGACACGGCAAAACAAAACTCACAGATTTACCAAGGATGCATATTTGACAGATTAGCTTAACGACCAGGGAGAGTAACATGAAAGGAACTGCTGTCACCTGGTCCAAAGTTAGTCAGGTTCTCAATGACAACTGAGGTAAGAAGACAATTAGAAGGCCTACCTAGAAGCATGCTAGCACAGGGTAAAATGTTTGTTGGTGGATTAATAGCAAAGCAGGAACAGCAGAAGCCCAGGTGCTTAAGCAGAGAGAAAGTCCTGATGCCACCTTTGCAATGTATTCTTACCTAGAGTACTATAAAAAGTAACGGCTGTAATGATGACCCATCTTACACCAAGAGATGCTGAAGATTCCTACAAAACAGGCCTTGACTACAAAGGGGATAACGGGAGTCAGATTCCAGGACAGAATACTGCAGGTGATGAAGAAAGAGAAAGGCTGTCTTTGAAGACATTAAGATATTATCCTCTCCTGATACAAGGCCCATCACCCATAGTGAAAAGGGAACAGGGTAAGATTTTAGAAGGTTTTCCTCAAAGAAACGATTAGTGCTTTCTCTGGTAGTGTCAAAAAACCCAAAGAATATCCTAAGTATCTAGCATAGATGGTAGTAACTCTTAAAACATTCAGATGGAAAAATCAAAGCAGAAGGCTTAAAGTCAAAAGGAAGTCAAGCCCGAATTCAAAATCTAGAGATTCCAATGTCCAGTCCTACACTTTAACATTTGCTACAGCTATATTCATAGAGTAGAAAAATACTGAAAGGAATAGCTTGCAGCCTAATTATGAAGTTTGAAATTCTTCAGCATAAGAAAACCACAGGTTCAAAACACAGCACGAGTGATTCAGTTGTTGCGTGCTCCACTCCACTGTTTAACAGGTAAGATTTTAGCAACAAGGTGTCTCCTCAATGAATCTTACATAAACTTTAAAAGTACTCTGAAATCCTACAGACTGCGACAGGTTCTAAAAGTGAAAGACTTTCCTCCACTTAAAAGGGAGAACTAAAGCAGCTGTGGGAACCAACTTCTTGTCTTTTTGCATGACTCAGAACTCAATGAATATGAAATATATTCTCAAGAGGAATATCCAATCATATCAACAGTGCATGATGTCATCCTAATAGTAAAGAAGCCTGGTTTTGGAGAGTTTTGTTAGAGAGAGGAATGAGGGAGGAAAGCAAAATCCTTCAGTGTGGTAAGTCAGATGCTTTCACTACCAAGCTGGTATCAGTAACAGAATGAATTCAAACCTTTTTAGGTCTCAAAGCTTTTGCACAGTCACCTGTCTTTAAGACTCACTGAAACAACAACTTTGCCACAACAAAACATAACATACAAAAGAAATAGTGGAAGTAGGTGTCTAACCTGTGGCCTCACCTGCCGAAGCAGTTCTTGATGCTTCAGTCTCAGCCTTTCCTTCTCCATCTGTAGCTGCTGAAGTCTCATCTGTTGTTGCTGATTGGAGCTACTCCCACCCATCACACCACCTTGGGGACTCTGAGGAGCCAGAGGGGGTGGCTGTTTCACTGGAGCACTTTGGCTGATTCGCTGATTCATGGCTAAGGAACCAAAACAATAAACATTTAAAAATGAAATTCAGACAAATACATGCAAGGAAAGTACTATCCTTAGAAGGCATATATTAAAAACTTTATAAAATTACAAGCCATGACAGTACAAAACATGCAGCTACACTGATGCTCAGAGTGTGAAATGTATGCTCGCATGTGTTATTCCTGTGAAATCAATGCAACAGTCTCATGTTTAAGAGTACATACTTGTTCTAAAGGCTTCTGAAAACAGTTAAATGTGTAAGTAGGTGAAAAATTCAAAAGTGGTAGTAAAATATTTCAAGTTTAATTAGAAGGATCTCTCTCTCTTCTTCCTAATAAACTATTCTCAATTTAGACACAAATAATACAAAATCACTTTTCTTATTCATCTGAAATCTTAGAATCATTAAACTCGAGAACACATAGAATGACAAAACAGATCATCTCACTTATACTCACTCAAACTACATTTGGTTAAAAGCTACCATTCTTCCCAACGTGGTGCAGGTCGTGCAACAATCATTCACAGCCTTGTCACATCAAGTTTTGAGTGTTACAGACTCCATTTAGGGCATCTTGACATGCAAAATTAGAGCTGGTACAGAAATGGCAGATGAATTATACTGCATATAATTATACTGCAGCCAAAAATACTGCCATCAACATAGGAAACATTTTGCTAGTGCTTCGTTTTCTTTTACCCCACAGAAGTATGTAATGCATCTTTTCTGGGGTGTGGAGAAGAAAAAGTATCATCTTGTATGCCTAATGCACAATGAGAACCCATCTTCCCTTCCCCCATAAAAGCAAGACCTAAGACAATTTTATTTTATAAAATAATGCATGACTGGGATGCATCTACTTGACAGGCCTGTGATTTTTCCACTACACGAGA